GCTGTCAAACACAGCCCCCCGCTGTCAAACACAGCCCCCCGCTGTCAAACACAGGCCCCCCGCTGTCAAACACAGGCCCCTGATGTTACTAACAGCTCCCGCTGTCAAACACTAACCTCTCCCTCTCATTAATCCCTGCTCCTGTGTTGTTATTGTTCCAGCCCAGTCGGGAAGACAGTTGTAACTAATGACCGCTGGGGATATGGCACAATCTGTAAACACGGTGGCTACTATACATGTACTGATCGCTATAACCCTGGCCACCTGCTGGCCCACAAGTGGGAGAATTGCATGACCATCGACCGGAAATCCTGGGGATACAGAAGAGATGCAAAACTCAGCGATTATCTTTCAATAGAAGAACTGGTGAAGGTAATACATTGCTGCCTACCTCTCTGTCTGGTTCCGAGCCTGTCTCTTCTCTCTGGTTGGAATTCCACATGCACACACTCGCGCGCACACACACACACACGCACACGCACACACACACACCCCCCGTATGGGTGGGCTGAGGCCATGGGAGTGGGTAGACAAATTGGGTGACATGGGTGAGGAGTTGGGCGATGCCCTAGCCATTACCTTTGACCCTCCTCTGTAGCGCTCAGTGGTGGCTGGGGCACCGAGAAGGCAAGGATCGCTAGAGAACATCCCTCACTCTGATCTTGTGTCACTCTGACAGGCTCCTGAGGCTATTTATCTGCAGTGCGGCTCCCCATTGATTGGTGCAGTGAGGGAGTGCTGCACTGTCACAAGCGCTGTCTTTCAAACCAATGGCCTGCCTGCACTTTGTGCTCTCCGATCAGATCCCAAACTATGACTTTGGAGAAATGTAGGGGAATCCTCTTGGTGCCTTGGCTGATGTATCTTCCTCATTTGAAATCTCAAAGAGTTTATTTGGTCGTTGTTACCTTGCTGATGGTGGGGCGTGCTGTGCACAAACTTGCTCTAGCTTTTCCTACATTGAAGAAGTGATTACACTTTGAATAGATCACACTGGTTAGGATGCACCTTGCCATGCCTGGTGGTCATGAAAGGCGCTATATAAATGCAAACTTTCTTTCTTTCTCTCCTGACTGTCTGTCATGCTGTCTCTGTTGTAAAGATCATATTTCTTTATTTTTCTTCATTATTGGTTTATGGACAGAAAAGAGCGGATACCTCTATGGAGCACTTTTATGAGTTACAGAAACAAGAGTAGGCCATTCAGCCCCTTGAGCCTGTTCTGCCATTCAGTGAGATCATGGCTGATCTGTGGCCCAACCCCATGTAACTGCCTTTGACCCATATCCCTTCGTTGTATGCAATGTTGCTTTTTCCTGAACAGTGAGAGTGAAGGTAGACAGGATGAAGATGTTGAGTTCTCAACTTAGTTGGTGGCGGGGGTGGGGGAGGGGGAGGCGGGGTGTGGAATTTCCTGACAGCAGTATTTTGTCGCCTCCTGACCAGGTTTTGGTGTGAGCAGTGGAGAAAGGAACATCTAGCTGATAAAGCAGAAACACCTCTCTCTGTGCATCTCTCTCCTGTGTGGAGAAGTAGCGGAAAGCTTCCTGATAGCTGTTCTCCTTTACCATTACTTTTGTAAACTGCTCGCTGTACAAATCCCCTATTGAAGGGCAAAATGGAAAAGACATTGAAAGAACTAATTCTCAACCAGAAAATAGAAGGCTGAATATTGGTGAACCACTACCTCGAGACATCAACAAAGAACAGTACTGAAAGAAAACAACTTATCAAATCCCCTTAGATAACAAGGTGTAGAGCTGGAGGAACACAGCAGGCCAAGCAGCATCAGAGGAGCAGGAAAGCTGACGTTTCGGGCCTAGACCTTTCTTCAGAAATGGGGGAGGGGAAGGGGATTCTGAAATAAATAGGGAGAGAGGGAGAGGCGGATAGAAGATGGATAAGGAGAAAATAGGTGGAGAAGAGACAGACAGGTCAAAGAGGCGGGGATGGAGCCAGTAAAGGTGAGTGTAGGTGGGGAGTTAGGGAGGGGATAGGTCAGTCCAGGGAGGACGGACAGGTCAAGGGGGCGGGATGAAGTTAGTAGGTAGGAGATGGGGGTAGGGCTTGAGGTGGGAGGAGTGGATAGTGGGAGGAAGAACAGGTTAGGGAGGCGGGGACGAGCTGGGCTGGTTTTGGGATGCGGT